TTGTCCGGTTACTCCGTCAGATTCGTACAATGTGGCGTAGACAGTGGTGTTGAAACACCGACAATCTGTCTTTATCCTGTCCCGTAATGACCAAGTCTCTGCATCGTAAATTAGCCTAGTCGAACTGCTACAGCATGCAGTCTACCGCTCACAGACATCCATATGTCATGATGGAGCCACAGATGTCTCCAGTTTTGCATTACTTGTTGGCATCGGATAGTGACCATGTTAGGATTAACGAACCCTCGTGCCCGGGTTGGAATTTTGGGCGAATTCGGTGGATATGCATTTCCGATGATTCCTAGCGCTCCGGGGGTGAAACGCTTCTGCAGCACTGAATATCCGAAGATGTTCAATGATCAGTGACACCTCCATATTGCCTGACCGATACCAATTAGACCAGCACGCCGAAATGTACTTTAGCGTCTACCTTATGCCTTGTACATTGCAGATGAATCAGGAGAATGCACATTTTAGTGAATACAAGCAGCTTCATTGCTGGCATTTGACTGCCACTACAAGCTGATTTTGTGCACGGAGGAGGTCACTGTCTTGGAGACCTTCGATCGGGGTTAAGGTTACTTTGTACCGCATGGTTATGCATTCCTGACAAGACGGTTGAACCGACTGACAACATCTGACCAAAGTTAGTTGGATGCTCTTGATTAGTTCCACCGTGAAGTGGTCGGCAAACAAGTTACACACACTCAGATACACCCATCATGTATGTGTGTGGGGGGGGCGAGGTTACAACGTTCTAAGTGCCGTTGACTAAGCACTACTGATAAGCTCTAACATCCAACGAAACTCGGATCAGTATCCTTCTTTCCGAGTGTGTGTATGGTCAACTGGATGATTGCGCGTGGACGTGTAATTTGAACGCTAGTCAATTACAACATCAAACGATGCATTCGAGCACGAACTACAGTGTCGTGGAAGGAGAAAACCCCGGGCGATAAGCTTTAAAACTTTTTATTTGTTTATTAGATCAGCAATATGTACACAATGTATGCATTTGTTCATATACTTCTCTGTCACACCACACATGTTGAGCGGATTCACGGGTTGGATGGAGAATGATCAATGCGTTTTGACCAGCGGACAGGCACAAACAATTCATACATTATGCTTCTTACATGTGGATTTACATTCAATGCATCCGGGACAATTGGTAGCTGTCTATCGGGTGGAGTTTGTAAACACTATACATAATCTATCGTTTAGGTGCATACACATACGACTGAACGAGAAACGAGCAACGAGTCTGTCGCTTCGTTTATTAACTGCATTGTTGTGACGCATGGAGCATGTATGTGTGTGTGGCTGATTGTTTGATTCAAAACAAACGAAGAAAGACTCGAGTGCACGTCGATGGTGGACTTTAAAGCTGATTAGTTGGACAATCTGGGAGAAACAAGATAAGCGAATGGGTGGCCCAGTTGGCGATATTGCTTACAAAAGTGCTTTGTTGACACAGGCAATTTGGGTGTTGCCGCTTGCATCACATAGTTTGGCCGATATGAGCAAGTCGTGACATGATAAAGTTGAAAGAACGTAGGTTGGCTTTCGAATTCACTGTTTTTATTTTGTGACGTTGGAGTGGTCAACGCCGACCAGATTGCAGTGTCACGATTTCCAAACGACCAATCAGAAACCGGTGTTCTGGACCCATCAAATATGTCACGGTAAAAACTCAGGAATACCATGATGGGGAAGAACGCGAACGCTTATTAGACAACATCTTCTGAACCAAGAATATTTTCTTCTAGATATTATCTAAGTCGTTTGGCTTCTTCCAATTTACCGATCACCTCTTCTGGCCTCTTGATATCAAGACATACAACTCGCTGATTACGAATTCCATTACAACTGCAAGTAAATAAATAAGTGTTCCGAGTTCTACAAAGGTCTCGGCAATTGTCGTGTGCGGGTAGAAGAAACTCGTTTACTAATTCTTCAAAAAACCACGAAACCACGTTCCGGCAATGATTAACCTGGAAGCGGCGAGATGTCTTTTGTTTATGTGTCACTGGAGGTTCGTGAACCGTTACTTGAATTGTTTCTTTCTTAAACGATGGACGAGCTTGGATTCACGCAGGAAGCCCTTTGATCGGTCGCCTCACCGTTCCTAAACATTGCGCGTATAATTAAGTTATATAAAAAGGCATTAAATGCAAGAAACAAAAGAACGTAAAGACTGTTTGTGATATTTTTTGCGTAGTCATTTAAGCAGTTGTAGCATCCTGATAAACGGGATAATTTGGGGTCACCATTATCCCATTGATCAAGCTGTGGAATTTCTTCTATATATATTAGAATCATCATCATCTAGTGAGTGTATTCTGTTTTACCAAGTTCAGAGCGGACTAAAGCTGTCAAGTAAAACGTGTATGGGCTACTTGGGATTGTTGTAGCTCGGGGTCAAGTCGATTGTACAAATGATTGACACTACACCGGTTCTCCACTTTTATATTTAAATTAATCCATGTGTTACTGGTCTTTAATATTCTGGATTCAATGTGCAATTGCATAATGCGAGCTCGAATTCGGCCTAGTCTCCCCATGAATAATGTGCCCGTATCACAGTTGTGGATACAACCTATCGTATCGGAAACCATACGTAAATAAAGATCAAGAGCTTTGACCAAATACTGATTAATTTTAAATCATCAAATCATTAACGTAATGACAAGGATCTCCGTGATGTTTTACAGCCAATAGAAATGCATATGCAGGAATGTACCAGATTGGTTAAAATCCCACTATTGTGACTAGCTGCCTAAGCACTCACCGTCCGTGGTGATGTAATCAGGCCATCTGGCGTTTGATCACCCACTTCAATGCATCGTTTCAAATCGAGTCAAGCACAACTCCGTTCACAAGGCGGTGAATTTTTTGGCGTTGTATTCGTTGAAAGACTATTATTTTCCATAATATATGGTATAATTTTTATATTTATACATATACATATATAGATATATATTTGGTGTTCGGTTGTTCGCCGAGCTTGGCAATTGTATTGCAAACGTTTCATCACCAATCGTGGTGACATTCTTAATGCAGTAACTGGGTGAGCGCTTACGAGTGTCCCTTTCCTTATATCGGTCGTTGAGTCATGTAGAGATGTGACGTTGCCTGATTGGCCAAGGTTTGTTCGCCTTGTGCCGATAGGGGATGAGGTGGACGCCAGCAGTCTGACGGGTGACCGTTGATCGATCAGTCTAGGCGTTACTGTTGTCCTGTCCTGTCGTTTCACGTGTGACACGACCCACCTTCTTTGCGCTGATTCGTCCTTTTGTTACATGGGGGTGTAGACTTGATCGATGTCAATGTGTCGGTTGACAGAGTTTTCCGATGAATACCAAGCTTCCAGAAATTCTCTTGCGTGTTTGGTGCGGGCCTGATCGACGACTTTGGTTTTTCGAAATCGAAATTGTGTCCTTCTTGGTCTTCGTGGATTGAGATGAGTGAGAGTGCATCGTGTCTTTTGATGGCCAGTTTGTGTTCGTGCACGCGAGTTGGTAGTTTTCTCCCCGTTTGACCGATTTGGTGCGTGCTCCAGTCCTTGCAATTGATGCGGTAGATCACATTTGTTCGATTTTTATTTTCTTTTTGTTTCTTGGTTTGCGATCAGATTCTTCGTAGGGTCGTCGCTGGTTTGTGGGCGACTTGAATGTTGTGCGACTTCAGTATTCTCGTGGTTATTTCAGAGATGTTCTTCAAATACGGTAGGGTTATTCGTTTGTTCGGTTGTCCATCTGTCCTTGTGTGCTGTTGTATTCCAGTTATTGTCCGTTTGACGAAGTTACGGGTGTAGCCGTTGCAAAGGAATATTTGATAGAGGTATTTCTCCTCTTGCTGCCTCAACTTTTCAGTACTGCAGTGTGTTTTGGCCCTTTCGAAAAGTGTCCGAATGCAACTCTTCTTGTGACAGGTTGGATGGTTGGTGGTGTACCCCAGGATTTGATCCGTTTGGGTCTTCTTTCTGTACACTTATATTTCCAACGGGCCGGACAATGATCTTGTTACTAGGATATAGAGGAATGCCAATTTGTCATTTTGTTTCGTTTCCATGGTGAACTCGATATCTAGGAAGATATTGATGCTGTTGAAAGTTTTGTAACAATTCCGATCGCTTCAGGATCACCAACGTATCGTCTTCATATATAAGCCAGAGTTTAGGCTGGAGTTGTGGTAGAATTATCCTCTCGAGCTTTTGCATTACGGCTTCAGCAATGAATCAAGAAATTGGTGAACCCATGGGTGTTCCTTTCAACTGTTCGTAGAATTCACCGTCGAATTCGAAGTCTGTTTGTAGGCGTAAGTCCGTCAGTTCACAGATATATTTGTGTTCCAATGTCTGATGTACCTATCGTTCCTCTAGTAACCCCTTTAGGGTTTCCCTGCCGCTAGAGGAACGACAGATACATCAAACATTGGATTACAAATATATCTGAGCATGCGCTGATTAAATAAGTATTACTCAATCTATACAATTCAAGTTAGCCGACAATGGGTTTAGGTACATAGTTGCAAATGTAACGGTTTCGATCACGTAGTCCGGTTAGCAAGGAAGCAAAACACCGCAAGTTAGCATGAGACCACGCAGTTTGTTGAAAAAACTTTAAAATCACCACGTCAATCAATAGCACTGCTTATAACGCTGTGTAACACGAACCTGATCACGGCTCTCCCAGCGCAGCGAAGTAGACGGAGATACACGACAGAATGTCCCTCGGTTCGTGTTCTCGCGGCTAGAGACGGAACGGATCGCAGCGGTCGACGTACCCGCGAAGGAGTGGTGAAACAGGCCACGTGGTGAACCGGAGTACAGGGTTGCGAGGACAAACAGATGCTCCGTCGGTCGGGGTTAAGGAACTCCGTGCAAAGCAAAGGAAACAGCTGTGGATGTTAAACAAACAGTTATTCATGTGAACAGTCCTTGAGGTTTTTGATGCTTTTCATCAACACGATTTATAAATTGTTGGAATGATTGTGAAATGATTGTAGCTCAGGTTGCGGATGTTGGTGTTGGTGAGTTCTCCAAGCTGGAAGTGTTGTTCGCAGACGTTTCGCAACCAAGCACTGATGACGTACTTAGCTTGGCTACGGAACGTCTGCGAGCAACACTTCCAGCTTGGAAAATTGTGCTGATCCAGACTTCCGTGACCGCAATCCATGCACGACTAGGTACAGTTTCATGTCATCCAATCACCGTTTTGGAAGCTCGACCAATGGTACACTGGGTGAACGTGACATCCGAGTTAGAACATATGATGCGTCGGCGCAAACGGTTACGTAATTGGACGACGGCCCTTCAACCAATCATGTGAGATATTTCCTTCCATAAAACATGCTCTAATTCTATCAATAATTATAAGCATTTGCTGCTATCAATTCCTCGTGTATTTCATTGGTGTTCGCAGTTTGGGTTGGAGCCAATTCAGTTCTGAGCAGTACAGTACGGATTCTCGTATACCTACATTCAATACTATTCTGATTACTATAATTTGGCGTCGCACAATGGAGATTCCTGTCATTGAACCATTGAATCTGCATGGAAGCCCATCAGAAATCGAAGAGTGGGTAGAACGGTTCGAATTGTGGTACAGCATCCGGAAAGGACGAATGCAAAATCAGTCGGTCCTATTTTTGACGTTGGGCGGCCGAGAGTTGTATTCCTTGATGAAGAATCTATCGTTCCCGAATGTTCCCGCTGAATTGCCGTTCGAGAAGTTGAAATCCCTATTACTTGAACACATTCTTCCAGTGGATTTTCAGGCCACTGAACGGGCCAAATTCAACTCAATGGTTAGAGCTGCCAACATGCCGTGCCGTGAGTTCCTTCTCCAGTTGAACAAACAAGCGTCAAAATGCAACTATGGTGACCGATTGGAAGAACAACTTTGCGACCGTCTCATTGCTGGAATCAACAACATCTCATTACAACGTAAGATGTTGGAAAAGAAAGATATCACCTTTGCTGAGGCTCGAAAAATCTGTGAGCAAAGTGACGATTTGTGTGCTGCCACAAATGCGGATACTCCTGTGTTATTCCACCGGCGATCAACGAAACCCTTACGTGA